AGATGGATAGGAGATGATGAGGTGGGAAGGCGGGGAGGGGAGGGTATGTTTTCTGGTTAAACTGTTTATCCTTGGAGAATCAGAGACTATATCTTTAATACCCCTTTTTAACACAGGGCCTGCTGTTGCAAGCTAAGTCTCCTGGTGATTTACACTGACACTGAAACAATGGTGTTGTCTCTGTGAAGTATGAGGAGACCTAGGGGAACTCTGGCATACACTTTCCTTAATGGATGCTCTTAGCAGGTTTGATGATGAATTGTTGAGGAATCAGATACCTTGCTAGAAGGACATATTTGATATCAGTTGATCCATTTGGGAGTGATAGTGTGGTGCAGAGACCTTTTCTCCCCTATCACTGCAGCTTTAGATGTGGGACGCTGGGTGAATGGTAAAGTGTAGAAAATGTTTGTATATTAGATCATTGTTTCTAAATGCATAGGTCTGAAAGTATAAATTAAAGTGTTTGATTCAACATGTGTTTGTAGATACCTGGAGCGAGTATAGATAGAAAAAAAGTGAAAATGATAAAAATGCAATATTCAGAGAAAAAATGGTTTGGTGACTAAGACAGTGGACTGATGTGGCACAGGATTACAAGGGATGAGTACCAATAAATAACAAAGTATCAGTATTTAATATAAAATATTACTAGAATTTTGGGGTGCTTTTGGAATTTCTATAGGTGAACAGAGGCCTCCCCATTCCCTGCTCCAAGTTGTACCTTACTTAGCTTTTTAGGAGTAGATGTTTATTGGTGTCCATTTGTTTAATAATAGTGAACTCTGATAGAATGAAGATTAAGAGATTGGAAAGAAGTAGCCAGATGTGGTGGCTCATGCCTGTAATCCTAGCACTGTGGGAGGCTGAGGCGGGTGGATCACTTAAGACCAGGAGTTTGAGACCAGCCTGGCGAATATGACAAAACCACATATCCATGAAAATACAAAAGCTAGCTAAGGGCAAACACCTGTTAATTCCAGCTACTTGGGAGGCTTAGATAGGAGGATTGCTTGAGCTCCCAAGGTAAAGATTGCAGTGAGACATGGTGGTCACCTGGGTAACAGAGTGACACCATATTTAAAAAAAAAAAAAAAAGAAACCACTTAAAAAAATAAATAGATATCATCAATAAGAAAAGAGAAATATTTCTAGATGAATATTTCGCCTACTTCTGGTCTATATGTTAATGTTTTTTTGTTGTTTTTTTGAGACAGAGCTTCTCTCTGTCACCAGGCTGGAATGCACTGGCATGATCTCGCCTCACTGCAGTCTCCGCCTCCTGGGTTCAAGAGATTCTTCTGCCTCAGCCTCCCCAGTTGCTGGGATGACAGGCATGCTCCACCATGCCTAGCTTATTTTTGTATTTTTAGTAGAGATGGTGTTTTACCAGGATGACATTAATGCTATTTTAACCAAAGAAACATGTAAAAGCTTCTATTATTCTTACTAATAGTTCCTTTGACAGGTTAAGATTCCCAACTCTTAAGGCAAAATGATACAAAAAGTAATTCATTTGGTTAATGAAAGTTTGAAAAAAATTATTAAATTATAAAAATTATTAAATTGTTCACTTATATTCTACATATCTTAAACTCCTGAAATAGATATTCTAAATAAAAATTAACCCTAGGAGTTAATTTAGAAGTTTTATTTTTTTAACTGCTCGCTTCTTTTATTGTTACTGAGGAAAATTAGTGTAATTGTTTGTATTTGTTTCAGGAAATAACTACTTTTAAGGTAATATAGCATCCATTGTGAAAGAAAAGATAATTCATCATGCCTGCTGTGGCTTCACTTCCTAAAGAACTCTACCTCAGTTCTTCACTAAAAGACCTCAATAAGAAGACAGAAGTTAAACCAGAGAAGATAAGCACTAAGAGGTATGATGTATCCTTTGCTAGTTTGATTGAATCAAATATTAATTTTTAGTTTATTTCCATATTAAAGTTAGGTGACGTTAATTTAAAGTTTATTTGAAAAATAACACCATCACATGAATAAAATAACATCTCCTTAGAGAATGTCTTAAAGCAATTGTAGAATAATATATATATATATTCTGCTAATATGTATATTATCAACTCTCCAGACAGATCATACAGATATCTGTAAGTCAGAAGTTTAAGAGGCAAGAATTATAAGGGTTCTAAAAAAAAAAAAAAAAAAAAAGAAATTCAGCCACAAGTCATTGTCTTTTCATAAAACAGTATAAAAATAATTCCCTTTTGGCCGGGCATGGTGGCTCACGCCTGTAAGCCTAGCATTTTGAGAGGCCAAGGCGGGCAGATCACCTGAGGTCAAGAGTTCCGGACCAGCCTGGCTAACATAGTGAAACTCCGTTTCTACTAAAAATACAAAAAATTAGCTGGGTGTGGTGGCGTGCGCCTGTAATCTCAGCTACTTGGAGGCTGAGGCAGGAGAATCTCTTGAAGCTAAGAGATCGAGGTTGCAGTGAGCCTGAGATTGTGCCATTGCACTCCACCTTGGGCAATAAGAACAAAACTCTGTCTCAAATAATAATAATAATTCCCCCCCCCCTTTTTTTTTTGAGACAGGGTCTTGCTGTCTTGCAGGAATGCAGTGGCATGCTCATGGCCCACTGCAGCCTCAACTTCCTGGGCTCAAGTGATCCTCCTGGCTCAGCCTCCCAAGTAGCTAGGACCGCATGCTTGTGCCCCAGTGTCCAGCTAATTTTTAAATTGTTAGAGAGATGGGGTCTTACCGTATTTCCTGGATGGTCTTGAATTCATGGCCTCAAGTGATCCGCCTGTCTTGGCCTTCCAAAGTGCTGGGATTGTAGGAGTGAGCCACCACACTTGGCTAGAGAATGATACAAACTTTAAAGAAAGAATGGAAAATTCCAGAATGAACTGAATTTCAAAACATTACTAAAGACAAAATGAGCTTTTAAAAAAGATGCTTTTGGCCAGGCACTGTGGCTCACGCCTGTAATCCCAGCACTTTGGGAGGCTGAGGCGGGCGGATCACCAGAGGTCAGGAGTTCAAGACCAGCCTGGCCAACATGGTAAAACCACATCTTTACTAAAAATATAAAAATAATCCCAGCTACTCAGGAGGCTGAGGCAGAATAATCACTTGAACCTGGAGGCGGAGGTTGCACTGAGCCAAGATCGTGCCACTATACTCTAGTCTAGGCAGCAGAGTGAGATTCCATTTAAAAAAAAAAAAAAAAAAAAGATCTTCTGAGGCCAGGCATGGTTGTTCATGCCTGTAATCCCAGCACTTTAGGAGGCCAAGGTGGGTGGATCACCTGAGATCAGGAGTTCGAGACCAGTCTGGCCAACATGGTGAAACCTGTCTCTACTAAAAATACAAAAATTAGCTTGGTGTGGTGGCGTGCGTCTGTAATCTCAGCTACTGAGAGACTGAGGGATTCCTGAACTCAGGAGGCGGAGGTTGTAGTCAGCCGAGATTGTACCATTACACTCCATCCAGCCTGGGTGACAGAGTGAGACTGCCTCAAAATAAAAATAAAAAGATCTTTTGAAGGGCAGAAAGAGTAGGAGAGGGATTGGGCTACTTATGTTAAGTTGATGATGTTGATGAGGTGACAGAAAACAGCTCTATTTAACTCACGTTTAATGATTTTCAAATGGGAAACAATGGGAAAGATAAAGCCACCTTTACATAGGACAGTCTTTAAGGTCAGGCCTAAGCCAGCTCATTCCTTTCTAGCACTGGTTTATCTCTAGCAGCACCCTTATCCCAGAGGAAGTGATATATATAAGTTGGTTGTATCCAAACTTTGTATCAGTTCTGAAGCAGTGGAACCTAAATCATGAACTTTGCTTTATCAAGATGAGTGGTTCCCAACCTTTTTGGCACCAGGGACTGGTTTTGTGGAAGACAATTTTTCAATGGACCAGGGTTGGGGAGGATGGTTTTGGGATGATTCGAGTTCACTACATTTATTGTGCACTTTATTTCTATTATTATTACACTGTAATGTATAATGAAATAATTATACAACTCACCATAAGGTAGAATCAGTGGTAGCCCTGAGTTTGTTTTCCTGAAACTAGACCATCACATCTGGGGATGATGGGAGACAGTGACAGATCATCAGGCCTTAGATTCTCATAAAGAATGCACAACTTTGGCTGGGTGATGTGGCTCATGCCTGTAATCCCAGCATTTTGGGAGACGGAGACAGGAGGATCACTTGAGGTCAGGAGTTCGAGACCAGCCTGACCAACATGGTGAAACTTCATCTCTACTAAAAGTACAAAAATTAGCTGGCGTGGTGGCACATGCCTGTAATCCCAGCTACTTGGGAGGCTGAGGCAGGAGAAATTGAATCTGGGAGGCAGAGGTTGCAGTGAGCCGAGATTATACCATTGCACTCCAGCCTGGGCAACAAGAGCTGGACTCTTATCTCAGAAAAAAAAAAAAAAAGAATGTGCGACCTAGATCCCTCACATGCGCAGTTCACAATAGAGTTCGTGCTCCTATGGGAATCTAATTCGGCCACTGATCTGACAGGAGGTGGAGCTCAGGCGGTAATGCAAACAATGGGGAGTGGCTGTAAATACAGATGACGCTTAGCTCACTAGACCAACCACTCACCTAGTGCTGTGTGGCCTGCTTCCTAACAGGCCACGAACCAGTACCAATCTGTGGCCCTGGGGTTGGGGACCCCTCATAAAGATTATCTGTGGATTTTGTATATAACCTGTATTTTTTTTCGCAGATGTCAAGTGCTTTAATTATATTTTTTTCTCTAATTTTAAGCTATGTGCACAGTGCCCTGAAGATCTTTAAGACAGCAGAAGAATGCAGATTAGATCGTGATGAGGAAAAGGCCTATGTACTATATATGAAATACGTAACTGTTTATAATCTTATCAAAAAAAGACCTGATTTCAAGCAACAGCAGGTACCTTTTATTTTTGAATTTTTATTTCCTAAGTTATTTTGCATAATGGAGTTATTGATTTTTTCTAAAAATTTTAAATAATAATGAAATTAGCTCAAATTATATGCAGTATCATATCTCATGTGGATAGAAAAAGCAAACTAAAGATATAGTGTTATTCACAAATGGTTGTAACGTGTGAATTTGCTGTGGATTAGTACAAGTTTACAGCAACATACAGATTCATAATTTTTTTCTGAGGTAATTATTACCAGGTCAAGTAGAAGGATTGAATTTAGTCATTAAGAAAATATGATTTTTTTTAATTTAAGTTTTTATTTTTATTTTCCTTCATCGACACATGAGCCGAGAAAATACAACTTTTTAAAATAGTGCTTTTATTGTACTTTCTTAAGATTTGAGGTTTAGTCTCTTATTTTTATGTGACAACTTTTTTTTTACTACTAGTATTTTTTTTGAGATGGAGTCTTGCTCTGTTGCTCAGACTGGAGTACAGTGGCACAACCTTGGCTCACTGCAACCTCTGCCTCCCAGGTTCAGGCAATTCTCCTGCCTCAGCCTCCAGAGTAGCTAGAACTACAGGCACCTGCCACCATGCCTGGCAAATTTTTGTATTTTTAGTAGAGTTGGGGGTTTTTCCATATTGTCTAGGCTGTCTCAAACTCCTGACCTTGTGATCTGCCCACTTTGGTCTTCCAAAGTGCTGGGATTACAACGGTGAGCCACTGCACCTGGCCAGCTACTAGGTTTTTAGATCTGTCTTTGAAAGCGGGAGGCTGTTTCATTTGGAGGTTCTTCCATCTGTCCACAGTGGTTGAATTGGTCCTGCCCTGGGAGAAACATCATTTAACATTTTTAGACCTGCATATCTGCAGGTAATAGACAGAGAGGCCTTTCTAAATGCAAACAAATTTTTGAAATATGTTAAAGTGGAATTACTTAAAAAGCACGATAAACAGTGCTTACTAAAGTAAATATTTTTGAAAGTCTTATAATTAGGATAACTTTGGTAGTTGTTTATTGTTTTGTCTGTGTGGTAGGGTTTTTTGTTTTGTTTTTTTTAATTTTTGAGATAAAGTCTCATTCTGTCACCCAAGCTGGAGTGCAGTAGTGCGATCTTGGCTCAGTGCAACCTCCGCCTCTCTAGTTAAATCGATTTACCTGCCTCAGCCTCCCAAGTAGCTGGGATTACAGGTGCACGCCACCACGCCAGGGTAATTTTTATATTTTTGGTAGAGATGGGGTTTCACCATGTTGATTAGGCTGCTCTTGAACCTGACCTCAGGTGATCCACCCGCCTCAGCCTCCCAAAGTGCTGGGATTACAGACAGGAGCCACCACACCTGACCAGGGTTTTTTGGTTTTGTTTTTGTTTTTTTTTAAGTATACTTGTTTACTTTTTTCTTTATTCTTGGAAGTTAGTAGTTATTTTTTTTCTATGACAAGATTGGGAATATTTTTGTAGCTAAAATTTTTTTTTTATCTTCTTGAGAAGTTAGTGAGTACATTTAAATAGGTAAGAGATTTTTTCATTTCCGTAGAGTCTCTATTGCACTTCCAAAGGGAGTATCTAGGCAGAGAAGTTCAGGTTGAGAAGCTCCCTGCAAAGGCTCCGGTAACTTAGGCCCTTATTTCATATGATTCAGTAGTTCAGTTCCTGCTTTTCAGTAAAAGGATCATTTTCATTTACTCTGTCCAGGGTATTTCATTGCTTCTGTCTTAGAACTGTTTTTTGTTTGTTCTGAGATAGAATCTCACTTCCATCACCCAGGTTGGAGTTCAGTGGCCACAATCAAGGCTCACTGCAGCTTCCACTTTCTGGACTCAGCTGATTCTCCCATGTCAGCCTCCAGAATAGCTGGGACTACAGACACGTACCACCACATCTGGCTAAGTTTTTTATTTTTTGTAGAAACGCAGGGTCTTACCCTGTTGCCTAGCTGGTCTTGAACTCCTGGGTTCAAGGAACCCATCCGCTTGCCTCGGCCTCCCAAAGTGCTGGGGTTACAGCTGTGAGCCACCTGGTCCAGCTGCAGAAGTGTTTTTTTGTTGTATTTTCTATAGCCCAACCTTTCTAGTGTACTTCAAGTATGTGAGGCACTAAATTTACTAACAAGGTATTTTCTGTTTTTACCCTTTCAATCAGGTAGGGACTGAATATATATCATTAAACTTCCTTAGAAACTTGTATTTTTTCACTCTTATTTTGTACTAGAAAATGTTTGAGATTTAGGCCTGGTGCAGTGGGTCACCCCTGTAATCCCACTACTTTGGGAGGCTGAGGCGGGTGGATCACTTGTGGTCAGGAGTTTGAGACCAGCCTGGCCAACATGGTGAAACCCCATCTCTACTAAAAATACAAAAATTAGCCAGGCATGGTGGTGTGCATCCATAGTTCCAGCTCTTTGGGAGGCTGAGGCAAGGGAATTGCTTGAACCTGGGAGGCGGAGGTTGCGGTGAGCTGAGACCGCACCACTGTACTCCAGCCTGGCATACACAGCGAGACTCCATCTCAAAAAAAAAAAAAAAAAAAAAAATACAAAAAAAAAAAAAAAAAAAAAAAAAAAAAAACAGAATAAAACAAGTCATAGCATTTTTGGTTTTACTTTGTATCTTGTTTTTATTGAGAATGATCACATTATAATTTCTGTTAAATGATTCTGTTAATGTAATCATTATATTATGTTTTCTGTTAAGAGAATTTCATCATGACATTGTGTGTGCTAACTGAAATTATTGTAATGTTCAGTTGATACAGTATTGAACAAACTGTGCACTTTTATTGGAATTATGTAGTGAAGGGTCCTTCTAATATATTTAGGCTTTAGGAGAGTAAAGCAAACAAAGCATGATATACTTTTTTTTTTTTTGGAGACAGTCTTGCTCCGTCGCTCAAACTGGAGTGCAGTGGTGTGATCTCGGCTCACTGCAACCTCATGCTCCCAGGTTCCAGCAATTCTCCTGCCTTAGCCTCCTGAGGTAGCTGGGATTACTCCTGAATAGCTGGGCTCACACAACCAGACCTGGCTAATTTTTGTGTTTTTGGTAGAGACGGGGTTTCACTATGTTGGTCAGGCTGGTCTCCAACTCCTGACCTCATGTTCCTCCTGCCTTGGCCTCCCAAAGTGCTGGGATTGCAGGTGTGAGCCACCATGCCTGACCAGCATGATCTACTTTTAGGCTAGATAAACATGTGATAACTGTTATCAATAGACCTTTTTTGAGACAGTGTCTCACTTTGTTTCTCTTTTGGAATACAGTGGTGTGATCATGGCTTACTGAAGCCTCAACCCTCTGGGTACAAGTTGTCTACCTGCTTTGGCCTCTCAAAGTGTTGGGATTACAGGTGTGAGCCGCCTAGCCTGGCCATCAACAGATCTTTGTTCTTAAAAATAAGTCTCAGCCGGGTGCAGTGGCTCATGCCTGTAATCCCACCACTTTGGGAGGCTGAGGCAGGCGGATTGCCTGAGCTCAGGAGTTCGAGACCAGCCTGGGCAACATGGTGAAACCCCGTCTACTAAAAAAAAATTAGCCAGGCATGGCGGCACATGCGTGTAGTCCCAGCTACTCGGGAGGCTGAGGCAGGAGAATTGCAAGAACCCGGGAGGCTTGCGGTAAGCTAAGACGGCCCCACTGCACTCCAGCATGGGCGACAGAGCGAGACTCTGTCAAAAAAAAAAAAAAAGGAAAAAAAATAAGTCTCATGTTAATTGGGACACAAAAATTAAATATTTTGTTGTATTACTCATATTCTGTTCTTGTGTTACCACATACTCTTTTGAAATGTAAAAAGTGTTTAGAATGATAGATTGTTGAGCACTAGTATATTAGATTAGAGCTCAGGTCCAGGTTTTCAAAATTATGTTTGTAAATATCTGGCAGTTTTCTTTAGAAAAATTTAATTCTTCTTATGCTCCAGGTTGTATTGTGCTACTGGTCACTGGTCTTATGGGAATGAAATATGTACTGTTGGTTTTTGTTGTTACTGTTTTGAAATAGAGTCTTACTCTGTCGCCCAGACTGGAGTGCAGTGGCACTGTCTTGGCTCACTGTGAACTCCACCTCCCAGGTTCAAGTGATTACAGACAACCCAAGTTGCTGAGATTACAGACAGGGACCACCACGCCTGGCTAATTTTCGTATTTTTTGTAGAAATGGGGATTTGCCGTCTTGGACAGGCTGGTCTTAAACTCCTGACCTCAGGTGATCCACCTGCCTCAGCCTCCCAAAGTGCTGGGATTACAGGTGTCAGCCATCATGCCCAGCCTACTGTTAGTTTTGATCTGCCTAGTTACAGAAGTTATATTTCTTTGTTTATTTGTATCATAAGTAATCTAGAAGTTATATATATATATATATATATATATATAGGCTGTTATATATGTTTATATGGCTTCACCATTGCAACTCTTCATAACTGAGAGCCAAAGATGAGTACTTCTGAGCTATAACTCTTCTTTTTACAAATTTTGATTATTATAATTTGTAATGAACTGTGCTAGTAGGCTCTATTTGCAAAGTCATGTTGACATGTTGTGGCAAATTGGATGCAGTAATCATTAAATTGACTTAACTGGCTACTGCCAAGTCATACCAACCTTGATTTGAAAATATCTCTGATTATAGGGTCCAACTTCATTGTACTTTTTAGTAAATTATATGCCAAACCTTTTGCTTTTTTTTTTTTTTTTTTTTTTTGAGATGGAGTCTCACTCTGTTACCCAGGCTGGAGTGCAGTGGCGCAATCTTGGCTCACTGCAGTTCTCCTGCTTCAGCATCCCAAGTAGCTGAGGCTACAGGTGTGCATCACCATGCCCGAGTAATTTTTTGTAGTTTTAGTAGAGACGGAGGCTGGTCTCAAGCTCCTGACCTTGTGATCCACCCGCCTCCGCCTCCCAAAGTGCTGGGATTACAGTCGTGAGCCACTGCGCCTGGCCATCTTTTGCATTTTTTAAAGGTAGATTCTACTTTTTTTTTTTTTCTTCCTGAGACAGTCTTGTTCTGTCGCCCAGTCTGGAGTGCAGTGGTGCAATCTCAGTTCACTGCAACTTCTGTCTCCTGGGTTCAAGTGATTCTCCTGCCTGAGCTTCCCAAGTAGCTGGGATTACAGGGGCATACCACCACACCGACCTGATTTTTGTCTTTTTAGTAGGCACAGGGTTTCAGCTTGTTGGCCAGGCTGATCTTGGAATACCTGTCCTCAAGTGATCCGCCTGCCTCAGCCTCCCAAAGTGCTTGGATTACAGCTGTGAGCCACTGTGCCTGGCCTAGATTATAGTATTAAGTATTTATTTTCTATTACTTCGTTTTTAGTTGCTCTGAGTTTCCTAAAGTGTGAAACTTGTTTTATGTATCAAAAGTGTTTTGACTCCAGTTGGGATGTGGGTAGCTATTGTAGAGTACAGGGGGAAGCAAAAATAACTGTTTAGAACAAGTAAACAAAACCAATTCCATGTTGTGTCTGTAAACATTTTGTATTATTACTTGTGAGACTAGAGGAAAAATCTAGGTACATATTTTTAATTAGAAAACACATCTTATTCTTGAAAGCTTTGCTCTTTGGCACTTACTCATAAATAAGAAGAATGTTATTTATATTTTTTAATGGTGATTTACAAATAAATCAAATTTATGAACTACTGGATCTTTTTAACTTACTAATGGTATGCAGACATACTTTTGAAACATTTAGAGAATAAATTATACATTTATGTAAGTTAAAAGTTTTTAAAAATCTTCAATTGTAATAAAACAAACTTCCTTTTATATAAGCACCATGATTGTAATGCTTTTAGCCCTAGTTTTACATGCAATGCCTAGTACTAACAATATGGGATGGTTTTCCTATAATTTTAGGATTACTTCCATTCAATACTTGGACCTGCAAACATCAAAAAAGCTATTGAAGAAGCTGAAAGACTCTCTGAAAGCCTTAAACTAAGGTACAGATATTATGAAATCTTTAAAATAATGTAAATTTAGAAGATAAAAATAATATTTAAGATTCACTGCCTGGCACGGTGGCTCACGCCTATAATCCCAGCATTTTGGGAGGCCGAGGCAGGCAGATCATGAGGTCAAGAGATTGAGACCATCCTGGCCAACATAGTGAAACCCGTCTCTACTAAAATATAAAAATTAGCTGGGCATGGTGGCACGCATCTGTAGTCCCAGCTAGTTGGGAGGCTGAGGTAGGAGAATTGCATGAACCCGGGAGGCGAAGGTTGCTGTGAGCCGAGACCGCACCACTGCGCTCCAGCCTGGCGCCTGGTGACAGAGCAAGACTCTGTCACAAAAAAAAAAAAAAAAAAAAAAAAAAATTTACCCATTTATATCTGACCATTCAGTAAGTAATACTTGATTTTTTTTTTTCTTGAGATGGAGTTTTGCTCTTGTCGCCGAGGCTCAAGTGCAGTGGTGTGCTCCCAGGACACTCACTGCAGCCTCTGCCTCCTGGGTTTAAGCAGTTCTCCTGCCTCAGCCTCCCAAGTAGCTGGGATTACAGGCTCCCACCACCACGCCCAGCTAATTTTTTATTTTTAGTAGAGATGGGGCTTCACCGTGTTGGCCAGGCTAGTCTTGAACTCCTGACCTCAAATGATCTGCCTACCTTGGCCTCCCAAAGTGCTGGGATTATAGGCATGAGCCACCATGCCCAGCCATATTCCAATTTTTAGAAATAAATCTTATATTAACTGGGAGACAAACATTAAAAAATTTTTTATATCACTTATATAGTGTTCATGTATTGCCACTAATATTCTTTATTTAAATTTTTAAAAGTGTTTAGAATGACAGATTGTTAAGTTAAACACTGGTTTATTAGATTAGAACTCAGGTCCAATATTGCTAAGTTATAATATTTGTAAGTTTCTGGCAGTATTCTTTAGAAAATTTTAATTCTTCATATGTTCTTTGGTGAATCATGCTCCTGGACACTATGTTAATAGGAATGAAGTATTTACTGTTAGTTTTGATCTGCCTAGTTACAGAAGTTATTTAAATTTAGGAAAAAAAAAAAATTGATTCTGGTATTTGCTATGACTTGCTTACCAGGCTTATAATTACAAAACAAAAGGAGTATGTTTCAGTTTTTATTCATTAGTCATTCTTTAATATTTAAATTGTTTCCCTTATGAACAACATAATGCTGTCGTGTGGATCCTAGTAGATAAATTTCTGCCTGTATCTATAGCATAAAAATTGTTACTGGATAAAATCAAAAGCATTCTCAGCAATTAGATACAGAAGGAGAGAACATTGGAACTGGTTGTTTTGTTTTGTTTTGTTTTTTGAGACAGAGTTTTGTTCTTCTTGCGCAAGCTTGAGTGCAGTGGCATGATCTCGACTCACCACAACCTCTATCTCCCAGGTTCAAGCAATTCTCCTACCTCAGCCTCCCGAGCTACTGGAATTACAGGCATGCGCCACCATGCCCGGCTAATTTTTTGTATTTTTAGTAGAGATAGGGTTTCTCCATGTTGGTCAGGCTGGTCTCAAACTCCCGACCTCAGGTGACCTGCCTGCCTCAGCTTCCCAAAGTGCTGGGATTACAGGCGTGAGCCCCTGAGCCTGGCCAGGAACTGGTTTTAAGTCATATGAGCTGCCAAAGCCTGGTTAGTGAAAAAGGGCAAATTGAGAGATGTATGATGCAAATGGTAAGTTGAAGGAGGAAACTGAAAGATTTAATTAGGGTGACATATTTCTTTACTTTCTTTTTTTTTCCTTTTTTTTTCCCACCCCACCCTCCTAGGGTGACATATTTCTTAACTGGCTTGATTTTTTTTCCACTGAGAATGTATCATATGTTACTTGAATTTAAAAATATTCTGGCTGGCCACGGTGGCTCACGCCTGTAATTCCCAGCACTTTGGGAGGCCCAGGCAGGCAGATTACTTGAGGCCAGGAGTTTGTGACCACCCTGGCCAGCATGGTGAAACCCTGTGTCTACTAAAAATCCAGAAAGTTAGCTGGGTGTGGTGGCCATCACCTGTAATCCCAGCTACTCTGGAGGCTGAGGCAGGAGAATTGCTTGAACTTGGGAGGTAGAGGCTACAGTGAGCCAAGATTGCACTGCTTACCTAGGTGACAGAGTGAAACTCCATCTCAAAAAAAAAAAAAAAAATTATTTCTGAAATAAAAAGTTTAAAATGTTTTTTTCTTAAAAAAATTTTTATTTAAAGATTTGTTTTGTTTTTTAAGATGGAGTCTTACTGTGTCACCACCCAGGCTAGAGTACAGTTGTGTGATCTCAGCTCACTGCTGAGATCATTTGAACCTCCACCTTCCAGGTTCAAATGATTCTTGGGCCTCAGCCTCTCGAGTAGCTGAGATTATAGGCATGCACCACCATGCTTGGCTAGTTTTTGTATTTTTAGTAGAGACGGGGTATCACCATGTTGGACAAATTGGAATATGGCTGGGCATGGTGGCTCGTGCCTGTAATCCCAGCACTTTGGGAGGCTGAGGCGGGCAGATCACTTGAAATCAAGAGTTTGAGACCAGCCTGGCCAACGTGGTGAAATACTGTGTCTACTAAAAATACAGAAAAAAAAATGAGCCAGGCAAGGTGGCAGACGCCTGTAATCCCAGCTACTCAGAAAGCTGAGGCAGGAGAATCACTTGAGCCTGGGTGGCAGAGGTTGCTATGAACTGAGATCTTGCCACTTCACTCTAGCCTGAGTGACAGAGTGAGACCCTGTCTCAAGAAAAGAAAATAACTCTCAACTTACAAAGGAAGTCATTGAGAAAATGATTCATTATTTAGATATTTACTTTCATGCCGTGATAGAATGAGCCATCTTTCAATGTAATGAGATCCCTGTTACTAAATAACCTCTGGGGTCCTTTTGAATTCTAAGGCTTTTTATTTCTTAATTATTATTATTATTTTATGTATATATTTTATTGCATTTTAGGTTTTGGGGTACCTGTGAAGAACATGCAAGATTGTTGCATAGGTACATACATGGCAATGTGGTTTGCTGCCTTCCTCCCCACCACCTATATCTGGCATTTCTCCCCGTATTATCCCTCCCGAACTCCCCACCCCTCGCTGTCCCTCACCTAGTTCCCCCTCAACAGGCTCCAGAGTGTGATGCTCCCCTCCCTGTGTCCATGTTTTCTTATTGTTGAACACCTGCCTATGAGTGAGAACATGTGGTGTTTGATTTTCTGTTCTCGTGTCAGTTTGCTGAGAATGATGGTTTCCAGGTTCATCCATGTCCCTGCAAAGGACACGAACTCATCATTTTTGATGGCTGCATAGTATTCCATGGTGTATATGTGTCATATTTTCCCTGTCCAGTCTATCATTGATAGGCATTTGGGTTGGTTCCAGGTCTTTGCTATTGTAAACAGTGCTGCAATGAACATTCATGTGCATGTGTCCTTATAATAGAATATATATCCTTATAATCCTTTGGATATATACCCAGTAATGAGATTGCTGGGTCAAATGGAATTTCTATTTCTAGGTCCTTGAGGAATCGCCACTCTGTCTTCCACAATGGTTGAACTAATTTACAGTCCCACCAACAGTGTAAAAAGTGTTCCTATTTCTCCACATCCTCTCCAGCATCTGTTGTCTTCACATTTTTTAATGATCACCATTCTAACTGGCGTGAGATGGCATCTCAATGTAGTTTTGATTTGTATTTCTCTAATGACCAGTGATGATGAGCATTTTTTCATATGTTTGTTGGCCTCATATATGTCTTCTTTTGTAAAGTGTCTGTTGATATCCTTTGCCCACTTTTGAATGGGCTTGTTTGTTTTTTTTTTTCCTGTAAATCTGTTTTAGTTCTTTGTAGATTCTGGATATCAGCTCTTTGTCAGATGGGTAGATTGCAAAAATTTTTTCCCATTCTGTTGGTTGCCGATTCACTCTAATGATTGTTTCTTTTGCTGTGCAGAAGCTCTGGAGTTTAATTAGGTTCCATTTGTCTATTTTGGCTTTTGTTGCCAATGCTTTTGGTGTTTTGGTCATGAAGTCCTTGCCTATGCCTATGTCCTGAATGATTTTGCCTAGGTTTTCTTCTAGAGTTTTTATGGTGTTAGGTTTTATGTTTCAGTCTTTAATCCACCTGGAGTTAATTTTAGTGTAAGGTGTCAGGAAGGGATCCAGTTTCTGCTTTCTGCACATGGCTAGCCAGTTTTCCCAACACCATTTACGAATTCTAAGACTTTTTAAATGTACTTTGAATTTTTCCTTTGTATAGGTTATTTTGAAACTAGATGTGGAAAACCTTTTCACTCTGTTTTTCTCCCTGTCTGCCCTCTCCCAGCCTCCTGCGCCATGGTGGTGTCTTTCACAGACATTTAGAGCAACTCTGTATGAACATACCTTCACATCTGTCCTGTCCTGATTCTATAATAAGTCAATCACAGAGCTGTTTGCCTCCTTTAAGTCTTTGAAATCTGCATGATTAGGATTTCTCTCTTGCCAGGTTCTGTAGGTTTGGAGAATAGATTACAGCCAGTGCTCGACTTACGACCATGATTGGTTCCGACAGACCAGTCATAACACGATTTGGTCGCTAAGTTGAGTAGGCTATATGTACAGTACTGTGAAATGATGTTATAAAAATCTTTAAGTCATATTTTATCATAATTTTCTTTTATTATTGTTATATATCATAATTTTCTGTATTCATTTTATGCATTTCTATCATTTGTATCATCTCTACACCATTTTGTTTCTTATTTTTACATTCATCAGGTTTAAGTAAAACACTGCATTACCAGTCCAACTGGTTTAATATTTGCAAAGCATACAAAATTACAAAATACAGGTGCATACAAAAATACAAAATACAGGTGTAAAAAATACCATAGGAAACATTTTCCCAATTGCAAAACATATCAAAATATATAAACGTACAAAACATTTTATTGGCCGCTGGTGCTTGGCTGCGGGTCGTTGATGTCGTCATCTGAGGCA